GTGTAAAAGTGTCGAATTTTTTTATAGAAGAAAATAACACTAAAAAAACATAAAGATAGTACTTCTATTCATAATTCATGACAAAACTAACAATACAAGCTACAATTGTCCACGAGTTTTCATATTTTGAAAACGTTGCATTATAGCTTCGTAATCAATACAAGCAAAAATATCTCTCTTAATGTAAACAACTAAGCTATCATTCAACCATTGATCTCTCATTCTGTTGTGAAGTGGATTTTTGATAATATTCATTGCTGAAAATTAATGACCTTTATGTTGATAAGGTCCTTTTTGAAGATATGCTCTTCTGATCTCATCTCGATGATTAGGACTATAATCTGTAATTTAAGTTCTTAGTCCAAGGTCTACCTGAAGATTAACCAATATTTCATCTAATTCAACAGGTCTTGCTCTTGCACTTGAACTACCTGTATTAGACTCACTATCCATAGGCACTTTTCTCTTAAAGTATTGTTCCATGATAATTTTTTTTACGCATAAATTAATTCAATCAATCAATTATAAAGACTACTCTAATCTAATCCAAATAATAATATCAATCAATATAAACTCTAATACAATTATCCAAATAACAAAATCATTCAATATATCAAAGGGACATTTTGGAAAAAGCAAAAGGAGAGAGAAAAATTTTAAAAGAAGCAAAAATGGACAAAAATGCCCTTATTTATTTTTAGATTTCCTAAGGAATCCAATACATTTGCATGTCTTTGATTTGAAAGTTTAGTGGTTTTTTTGTCTTTTTTGAAAAAGTTTTGGCTTTTTCCAAAAGTGAAATTTTTTTTATGTCTAAAACCTAAAAAACCTTATATTGAAAATATCATAAAATTCTACTTCATAAAGAAAATCAATCTATTAATATAAATTCTAATCCAAATAAGAAAATCAATCAATATCACCGTACCAATAAATTATAATTCATGAAAGATACATCAATTTCATTAAAATTATCCAAAACCCAAAATAATATATGTGAAATTATCACTCATTTGACTTTATGAGAAGCAATGGTAGTGGCGACAAGAGGTTGTCGGCGACAGCGGCACCTTGTACTGGTTGTGGTGGTGTGGTGGGGGTTTAAGATTAGTTAGGGTAAAAAAAAAAAAAACACGATTGGACCAAAACACGTTGTTTTGCCCAGAAAAAATAAAAATAATAAAAACATAGCTCGAGCCCACGCTACGCGCAAGCTATTTTTTTTAATAAGTAAACCAAAGGATTAGGTGAGATTAGCTCCTTAGTATCAGTCATCAGATGCACAAACATCCACCACCCTCAAAGAAGGGACCAACACTCTGGAAGCTAGGTTTTTTTAATTAAAAAAAATTAACACGATTGGACCAAAACAGAGTCGTTTTGGCCAGGCGATTTAAAAAAATAAAAAATAAAAACAGAGCTCGAGCCCGCGCTACGTGCAAGCTTTTTTTTAATAAATAAACCAAAGGATTAGGTGAGATTAGCTCCTTAGTATTGGTCATCATATACACAAACATCCACCGCCCTTAAAGAAGGGACCAACACTCTGGAAACCCCCCGCTCGTCCCCTTGATCATAATTTATTAACAAGAAACAAAAAAGAGATACAAGAACAATAGGGGGGACCGAACCAAACCTATAGAAGATAAAGACAATGATAGAAATGCACAACAACATGCTGACCTAAGAGACCAAAACTCTAAAACAGTAAACAAAAGAAACTAGGAGAACCGGAAATTAGGCATGCATAGCCAGTCCTACTGACAAAAAGGCAAAATAAAAGAAGGTGCAGTATCCCACCAAATTAAACCAGAGCCCAAAGCACCATGATTTGCCAAAGCATCAGCAGCATGATTATCCTCACGAAAGATATGAGAAATCTTAAATGATATGTGTTGGAGACGATGCAAGCAATTTTGCCAATCACCTCGTAGAAGCCAAGGGACCAAATGTAAAGAGCTAAAGAATTTAGTTACTAACAACGAATCAGTTTCAATCCAAACATTATGCCAAGCATGGAGCCAAGCAAGCTCAATGGCCTTAATAACCACTAAAACTTCAGCATGAACTACACTAGGAACATCTAAATTGGCCGAAAATGCCCCAAGAACAAGGCCCTGATAATCGTGAAGCACACCACCACTACCTGCTTTACTGGATTCGCTTTTGTGAGCACCATCAGTATTAATTTTGACAGAGCCAAAACAAGGGAGATGCCACATAACCTCAACATTCTTGGGATTGGGGCGAGGACGATAGTGCACCCTAATGGTACAAATAGTACCTAGATCACCCACCTTATTTGACATATGACCTTTGGCCAGAGGACTAGAGGCCCTTGGTATGCTCCTTCGGGTCGCATCGGAGCTTCGCCACTACTTTTCTCGACTGCCATAGGGTCGCCTGACCCCATTTGTCCCAGTGCATGCATACAAG